TTGCCGAACAACCTCCTCGTGGTGCCAGCTGGGTGGTTCGGGATTTTCCCGTTCCAGCAAATGGTTCGGCGGCAGTGTTCCAGGACGTGGTGGGTTTTCGCCTGGCAAGCGTTCTCTCCTATAAAAAGCCACATATGTCCGTTTAACAACACTGTGACGTGGCGGACGTGACTCGCCACTAAATAAAGTCACTGCCCCTTGCTTCATCCTGGCGAAGCATTGTATTCCAGCAACGTCATGCTGTACTTCTGGGGAGCATTGGGCCCCTGTTTGACAAAGGAACAAACGAAAGGTGTATGAACTGAGCAATCAGTCACCGGCTCCCAATGGGCGCGATTCTCTGAATTCGCTCCGCTGCCTTGCGGACAGGCTATTCAGCCAAAGGCTCGGGGTGGTGTCCCCTAAGTCAACACCCTACTTTGGCTTGGGCAACCGGGTAGTATCTCGCCCTCTGAGGAAACCATGGACATTGTTGTGTTGTGTTTTATGTTACTATTTCTGTACTTTCGTTTGTATCCCATGGTTTCTGATAGCATTATGTCTATTCGTAGACGTTTGCTAATATATATATATATGTATATATATATATATATATATATATATACCTGTGGTGGAAGAACCACAATCTTTGTTCACCCCCTATTGAAAACCGCATGACTGTACATCCGTTTGGCGCTACTTCGTCACCAAGCTGTGCTAACTTTGCGTTACGACAAGCTATCGCTATTGTGAATCCCATACAAAGGTTAAAGAAGTAGCAGAGAACTGTTCTTATGTCGACAATAGTTTATTTAATGTCGATTCTATTCACAAAGCAAGTGGACTCGTTAAACACCTTACCCGTATTCTGTCCGACGGAGGATTTCATCTGACGAAATGAATCAGCAATCGAAAAAAGGTTATCACACATCTACCTGACAGCAAACTGAAGGTTCCCGGAATAAGATATTCGACTGAGGACGATTGTGTTATAAATGCGCTTGATTTAAATTGGAACGTCACCCAGGACCACCTAACTTTAAAGCTAGAAGGTTTTAATAAAACGTTGACCCGAAGAGCCATCTTCTCGTTTGTAGCTTCAGTCTATAATCCTCTCAGCCTCATTGCTCCCGTGCTACTTCCGGCAAATGTAGTGTTACAAAGTTTCGTAAAAAGGAAGCTGGATTTGGATGAGCCTCTTTCCGCAGAGGAACAAATGGTTATCAAACGCCAATGGTCTGATCAGCTTGTCCGTCGAACGTTGTATTAGTAAATCCGGATGCAGTGTATCTTCTGTGCAGTTGCAATGTTTTTCGGATGCGCCCGAGGCTGGTTACGGTGCTGCTCTATATTTGCATTGCGAGATTGATGAACGCAACGTTAGTAGCTCCCTGATTATTAGTAAATCACGTGTCAGTTCCATTAGAACGGTGTAGAGACCAAGACTGAAGCTCACTGCAGCTGTGCTGAACGTGCGCATGTCAGCGAAAGGCAGAGAGAAGATGGTACTCCATTGCAGCACAACGTTCTGGACAGACTCAATGGTAGTTCTGAAGTTTCTTCGAAGTGTTCATGGGCGTTTATCGACGTACATTGCTAACCGGATTACTATTATACAACAATACTCGTACCTCAGTCAGTGGCGCTAGGTAAATTCGAAGCAGAATGCGGCTGATATAGCCTCACGTGGACTCGCGATGTCGCTCAAGAAGGAACTAAACCAATGGTTACATAGGCCACAATTTCTCGTTCAGCCCCATTCGTCATGGCCTATGCATCTGAAGAATCTGGATGAATTACCGCCTGAATCGTTAGGAAACGAGACTGGTCATGTTTTCTTGGTTACTTTGGAGGAGCATTGGATTAATAAATTTAAGGCTTGCCCGACATGGACTTCCCTGCGCAAATATTTCGTTACCTTCTTGTGATTCAAATTTTATTTCGTCACCAAATACTTGAGGCGCGCTGCACCTGACCGACCAGCTAAAACAGAAAGTGCTGAAATTCGACAAGCTACGCTTCAGATAGTTAAGTTGGTGCAGTCAGAAGTTTTTGCGGAGGAGATGCGCCTCCTTGCGTACAACGAACCCGAAATAACAGTTCAAAATTTAAAACAGGTCATGCAGATTAAGACGACTCAAGCACTTCCTCATTAATGGGATACTTCGGGTGGGCGGAAGACTGGATCAACTCTCGGTACCATATGACGCGAGGCATCCGATTTTACTTCCCGGCCGCCACTTTGTCACTCGCCTTCCTATACTTCACCATCACTACATCAATGGATACTCTGGTGCACAGCACATTTTGTACGATCTTCATCAACGCTACTGGATCGTGGGTGGGATTTCATCCATAAGGCACGTGCTTTCATATGTACCAAATCCCGCGTCAACCGTGCGAAGCTACTGAGTCAGCTGATGGTACCAGTTATAACAGACCAATGTTTGACCTACCAACTAGCCTTCACTGCAGTGGGGATCGACTATTTTGGACCGCTGATAGTGAAGCGTGGCCACGTACATGAAAAGAGATATGGGTTTTTGTTCAGTTGCTTGGATACACGAGCTGTTCACATAGAGATTTCCCACTCTATGGATACCGATTCGTTCTTGTGTGCGTTTCCGAGGTTTTCAGCTAGACGCGGATGGCCGACTGTAATATACAGTGATAATGGACAGAATTTTCACGGGGCTGAAGCCAAATTACGCAATCTTCTAAAGCAGCTGGATCAGACGAAGATCACAAAGTCTATGTTGGGTAGAGAGGTTGACTGGGAGTTCAATCATCGCGGAGGTCTTTGGGAACGATTAACTTGACCGACTCATGAATTACTACGTAACATACTCAAGGATGAGATTGTGACCGGAGAGGTACTTGTAAAAACACTCACCGAGATCGAAAGGATATTGAATGACAGGGCTTTGGTGTCGGCACCCGACTCTCCGGATTCGCAAGATGCTATATCGCCTCGGCAACTATTAACGCTTGCAAATGATCAGTCGCTTGAATACCCACCGATCAAGTTACCAATCAAATTTAGCAGAAGGTGGAGACATGTAAGACATCTGTCCGATATGTTCTGGCGTAGGTAGATCAGAGTATATCTACCGACACAGTAGAATAGGCAGAAATGGTTAACTGAAATTCGAGATCTTAGGCAGAGCGATTTAGTTTTAGTTTATAATTTACGCACATCAAGAGGTCTGTGGCCTAAGGGTGTCGTGGAGGAAGTTATCAAGAACAAAGACCAATTAGTTCGACAAGCACTGGTGAGGACAAGCAAAGGTGCATTGAGAAAAGACGTCAGACAGCTATGCCTACTAGAAGCGTACCAGGAAGAAGAAAAGTCTAGGTTTATGTGTTCGTAGTGTCTAATTTAGTTTTCGTACGAAGTAATTAGTTTAAACTTCGTATCGCTGGTACAAGGAGGATGGCATGGTGAGCCCATAGTTCGAGGCTTTCAGATGGGTGTCCGATAAAGAACAGATATCGATCGTTAAGGTATCTAATGTTCGGACAATCGCTGCCTGCTGGGCGATCTGTAACAAAGTGTGGGCGTTGAGTAATGACAATCTTAGAGAACATCGATGATTCCAAATGGAAAGAGATGAACTGATGTTGTACGCTGGGTTAAACATGGAAGTGTTGACTGGACCGGGCCGGAGCAAAACCCTGCGATTGCGTGTGAGTCGAAACTAAAAGACAAACCCCTGTCGAAACAAGATGGATAAGAGTAAAGATTGGAGGTAAAAACAGGGAGATAAAAGCGCAGTTGGAACGGCACGATAAGGATAAAAGAACGTAAAAGGAGGACAAGAAGAAGGAATGGCCTGAGCAATAGGATTAGCATCTCTATCCACCCTGCGCGATGCAGAAGATAGGGAGTCGTTGATTACCTGTTGCGACGGCCAGAGCATAATGAATTTGTTTGAAGAGAAGTCCATTGTACTGCGGGGACAGAATACCGTCAGGCTACCAAGGCCTAGACAGGATAATGGTTAGGGTTTTCAACCAAGGCGGTGAAGTTTTGGCACAGTTATAGAGAGCCAGTTTCATGGAGTAAGAAGGCACCATGAAACCGACCCCAACCTATACGGCCGGGAGTCTGAGTTCGTCTAGCCTCTATTGGCCAATCTAGTATGAGCGGCTCTGAAAGTGCGAAAAGTACCACCTAGCATAGCACAATGAATCACGGAGGCACAAGAAGCATCACAACACGTTAAGGTCCAGTCTCGTTGTGATGGAACATCAATTAATGTAAGCGGATCATGTGGTCGGCGCTGCACCGCCCCCTTGTGGACAAATGAGTGACGATGGGCCAACCATATTTTTCTATCCAATATCGCTTAATGGTAATAAAGTTCATCAACGCAGAAAAAAGACAAATATTGCGATATATTAACGGTTCGATTGCTTTCGTCCGTCGCGGTTTAAATACGTACAAGATGTAAGCAAATGCATAAGTGAAACCAGCATTCCTGGTTGCGTAAGTGCGCTTCAGGGCAGACCTGAGCTAGTGCGTACTGTCAATTGCGTCTCTTGAAAGATCGAGTAACATGAGAAACAGGATCCTTACTCTGGAAGAATAGGGTGCAGTCAGTTCATTCGGTGGGTGGTGAACTTTGAGTCGTCTACTACATGCAACTTCAATCACAACAACCAGTCAAGCTGAAGTACATTGAAATTACTCTAGCAGTCAGAAAGTAGCTGAATTTACGGAGGTTCTGGTATTGCTTGCTCCTGAACTACCGCTAAATGTGGCATTATCTCGACGCTGCAATCACACTTAGCAGAAACTTTGAATAGCGACCAAATGGTTGCCAGCTAAACATTAGGCTCATGGTTCTCTTTATGAGATGACAACAGTGAGAGCCATGTAAAGAAGTAAAATTAAATTTTACGAAATGCTAGGTGTCAACTATAGCACATGCTTGATGCGAAGATGGTAATAATGGACAAAGGTCACATACAAAGAGATGAAAGGCTCGGTTTTTGAAACAAGTAAAAAGTAAGCAGTTGCAACTGGTAAATAAAGTATTTATTCAAAAACCACGAGTAGAGCAGCTAGTTGGCGTCAGCCACTAGCGGTCATTGGGTTCGATCCCCAGTATGGGATCGAGGAAACAGTAATATCAAAGAGCTGTAGGATGATTCCTCAAGTAATGTCTGGTTGCCGAAGTCAAACCACAGACACATGACACAACTAAGGTACAAATAAAAAGAGGCTGGAGGGACCAGTAGCACGACCTAAGTGGATGAACACAGATACCAAGCAAGCGCACGAAGAAGAGAAAAGATCACCCAGATGCTCAGTGATGATGATACTACGAGTATATGGTGGATCACAATGTTGTGAATATTGAGTGAAAATCAAATTTACCTGAGTGGAATGTTTTCGAGCGGTCAGATTTAGCGGGGATAAAGAAGTGGGCCAAATGCTGCGTAACAGTGCCGGTGTGACACTTTTGCTGCTGCGTAGACTAGCTTCCAATGGTTCATGAGGTTGTGCGAATTCGGGTCGACGGAGCGATGATCCATTAGCAAGCTGGAGATAAGCTCCCAAGCGAGAGCCCGCTGGTGCAATTCGGGCGCTGCGGATACATTTTGTGGAAACTATAAGAGATTCGGCGATTGACAAAACCGGATCGACTTGTGAAGAGCCATAATGTTCATCCGCGTCGCTCACTTGAAAAGGATCACGAGGATCACCCGAACAATCCGAGGCGACAACACCTTTGCTCTCCCAGCGTGGATCATCCATGTCGACTGAGACCAAAGGTACGACGTCAGTGAGGCTCGGATCACCAAGAAAAATAGACTCCGTTAACACACGAACAATATCAACGTGGTGTAGGATCACAAAAACGTGAGTGAGCAAAAAAGTTGCCACGGGTCGTGTCACATGAGGCCTTCGTACACACTACAACAAGAAAAGTTGAAAGATCTGATCGGATGGGTCATTTTAAAGCGCTTGTGTGATTAGGTTGCGACGCGAAATCTCAATGTGAAAGATCACATATAGAAAGCATGAGATAGAAGGGACGGAGATAAGGGAGAGAGGAACTCACTGTTGCCTCATGCACTGAAGCTTTATGTCGCTTGGTCAGTGAATACACGTACAAGGGGATGAGAAGCCGATGCAGAATCTGGTCACACAAAACCTCGTTAATTCCTTCAATGCCCAGGGAAAGAAGATCGTTTATGTAGTGCAAGTGATCAATGTGCTCCGCAAGCAAGTCTTCCAACTTCGATTGACTCTGAGAACTAGACAGGTGCGGAAAGTGAACTGATGTTTATGGGCAAAGCGAATGTTTAGTACTATGGAACAGAATAGGACGATACGCCCGAAAAGAACGGAACAATTCGCATTAATCCATCTCCGACATTATATATATATATATATATATATATATATATATATATATATATATATATATATAAAATCACAACCTGTGGTGCAGACATTGAGCCATCGGAATAATGGCGAAATAAGAAAACAAAAAAATAATAAAGAACGTATCTTTGGTGTCTAGGTTTTCCCTCAGTTTTCTGATTTTTTTATTTTTTATTAGGAAAGGGAATCACCGCAATGAACAAAGATACATGCCCACCACTGACGTTGGTCTTGAGATATGACTTCCAAGGTTTCCAATCAGCGACACTCCGTATCATCAAAATTCCAATGAGGGAGTCGAGAGCAATCGAGAGAAGCTAAGTGTTCCGTCCGGTTTGTCATGCGGTTACTTCAAGGTGTACGTTGTCCACCGCGCCGCCTCCTCCAGCCCTGTGCAGCAACCGCAAACAACGCCCACCGCGGAAGTCGATAAGCGTGCATGCGCAATATGTGTCCAAGCCACCGCAGCTGACGCAGCGGGACGAGCTCCTCGAGCGAATGGCCACCTCCATTCAAGATACCCTGTTTCACTTCCACATTGGTTACGAGGTGCAGCCCCCACACACGGGCAAATGGACCGCAAGCAACGGTGCTCGAAGACAGACAGACAGACAGACGACACAGGTCACATCAGGGACCACTGCATTCTGTTCCAGGCAAAAGAGTGTTTCAAGTAGGATAAAAACCGGAGATAATGCTAATCCGTAGCCATCCGCAGTGCGTGTCCTAGCCGGTGCCATGCAAAGACACTAGTGATTAGTCAAAGCCACTCAGGCCATGGCATAAACTGGGGTGGTGAGATTGAACGTGGTACTCATGTATTACTGATGCAACACAAAGGCTAGTGCTAACAGTGCAAACAGAAAATATGTGGGCAGCATGAGAGAAAGCTAGCCGCTTAAGTCCACCTTGCAATGAAAACATCTGCTTTATAAATGAAAAATAACAAAAATTAGCCAATGAAGAGCCAAAAGTAGGCGTATATTGGCACGCCGAGATACGACAAGCAGGACTAGCAAAGCGAGTTGGGAGGAAAGGTTCAGTGCGCAGTTGATCTATATCCAAACAAGCAAAATAGGTCACAAGATGAAGTGTTTCAAAGGGTGGTGTAGCGGAATTGCTGTGATACCATCATTTAATGGATCACCGGAACTCACGTGGGATATTGTTATCACAGCTACTTTGTTTGGAAGGAGCGGAAGTTAACTTTCGCTGTTGAAATGGAACAGAGCACTTGGGTCCTATGGTCTACCCCATCCTAGCTGAAATACACAGTCGAATCATCGGCGTCTGGTCGAGTCGCCCATTCGATTTCACATGAGACACTGAAGGGGAGTCCTCCGACAGGCAACTAGCAATCTTAACGCACACTCTGCGAAAAGCACGGATGTAGTACCTTTATTGTCGACGCTTCGAGATGCCTACCGATCCATTTAACACCGAATACTGTATTGCGGGAGCAAATATAGATTAAAATCTGTACAATTCCATCGCAACACAAGCAAAAATGTTATAAAACGTCTCTGCCGGCGTGATAATCTATTCGTTCTTTAAGATTCCATGTGGCAGTTAAAGAGGTCTTAGTTGCAGTTTCACCGGACTCACAAATGGTAGATGTCCTTGTTAGTGTGCAATGGTTCTCTGAATCGAATGATTGTGAGATGTAGAACCAACGTCTTGAAGTGTTGCACAGATTTGGGACCCACGACTTGTCCTGGCAGACTGTTCCAAACCATTATCACTCTCAGTTTGAGGAACAGAAAGTGGGGTAATCGTTTTACATTCGGCAAAAAAAGCTTGTAAGGGTGTCCGCATGTGGTGCAAGGCGTTCGTAAGTCATCGAGATGTAATATGCGGTAAGTCGGAATGAAATCGCCTTGCAGCCGATGATAGGACAAGGTTTATAGTCCTAGTTTCTCGCAGCGGTCTTCGTACGGTACTCCTGGTAAAGCAGTAATGGGCCTAGTAGCGACGTGTTGGACCCGTTCGATGTGTGCCTCGCCTCGGGTGACTAGTTAGTAGGCAGGTAAGCCGTACTGCAGTAGTGGTCGTATGATGGAAGAGGCAAGTAGTGACTTCTCTAGAACAAGTACAGAAGCTGCATTTGAGCACCCAAAGCATGTGCAGTCCGTTGCGATATAGCCTATTCGTGTTGACAACAGACTTCAAACCGCAGCGCGAGAATACACCTAGGTCCTTCACGAAAAGCGTGGAATGTAACGGTTGGCCATCAATGGAGTAAATTCGGTCGTCACTACCCTTCCCGTGGCTCATGAATACCGACTTGTTGGATTGACCAGGCGGTTGAGGTCTTGTTGAAGTACGCCGCAGTCGTCTTGGGTGCCAATAACTCTCCAAATATCCAGGTCGTCCGAAAACAGGGCACACAACGACCGATAGATTGTGTATGTGGTTTAGGAACAGATTGGGCATCAGCACCATATCTTGGGTTACACGATTTGTAGGGGGATACCAGTCAGTTAGATGACCGTCGACCTGTACCCTCCACTTCCGTGCAATGAGAAAGCCCTGGATCCACTGGTGAAATGATCGCCCAACACCGCACACACTCAAGTTGTGTAGGAGGATCCCACGGTTTATCTTGTCGAACGATTTATTGAAATTGATGTAGATTACGTCGACAGATTTCGCTTGATTCACTGCTTGCAACAATTCATGCCTCGTCACCAGCAAACTGGTAATGCACGAGCGACCTAGCATAAAACCATGCTGTACGGGCGTCAGTAGATCTTTTGATTGGAACAGCCGTAGCAGACGCTTCTTCATGACCTTCTCAGCAACCTTGGTCAAAAAGTGTCAGACAAATCGACCTGTAGTTGTCCACTTTGCTGGGGTCATCGCCTTTCGGAATCGGCTTTATCAATGAGCATTTCCAGTCGCTAGGAAATAAACTTTCGGATGGCAGGTAAGATGACGACCGGTAGGGACTTGAGAATCATTGGGTAAAGTCCGTCAGTGTCAGAGGGTTTGGTGCCGTCAAGATTGGAGTAGGTGATGTACCGAGTTCGGTAAGCGCGATACACGTCGAACTCGGTACAGACACTTAGTCATTTGCAAACACGTAAGCGAACTGCGCCGCCAACGCGAACATACGCTCAGTGCTGGAGGTTAGGGACTGTCAGTCCGAGCCCTGCAGCACTGGCCAATCACCTGCCGGCTTGAGGTGAGGCTTTATGTAAGTAAAGATCCTCTTCGGAACGGTCTTTGCAGCGGTTGCGATCTGCTTTTCAAAATACCGGTGCATGCTCGTTTTTGCACGATTGCAAATATTTCGCTGCCTTTTATACAAGTAGTCCTTGGAATGGTCGGAGAGGAGAAATTGGTCCCACAATTTGCGCCGACGCAGAGTCATTTAGCATACTCGTTGTCGAAGCAATGTGGCTGGACTGGTCCAACTTTTCGACACTTCAGTGGTAAAAAGCCGAGAAAACAGTAATGTCACTCTCTTCTTTATAAAAGTCCAACAGTCTACCACAGGTGTAGCTTGCGGAAGATGCCAATCCACCTGGCTCACGGTTCGAGTTAGATCGTCGAAGTCAGTTTTTAGTAGTTGTAAGCTGGCTCCAGCGTACGGAAATAAGGTAGATTCATGCTGGCTATGAGTAATCAGTGATCGTTTGTTGCTAACGTCTCCATGATCTGAACGTCATATACATGTTGTTCAAAGCTTCTTAACATCAAGTCTAGGCACGACGGAGTTGAATACGGTTTTATACCTGTCGGTTTGCACATGTGTTGCGGTGCTCCACTTTCAAGTAGTAAATCCACGTAGTTTGCTTCGACCTCGCAATGTCCGGGCAGATTTGAACTTCATGCCAGAGCACTCGGGGACAAGTGAAATCACTTATGAGCAGAAAATGGAGACGGCTTATGTGGCTCCGGAGATGCGGCAGCCAATTCAGACAATGTCTGATGGGACTGCGATAAAATGCACCAAAGAGCAGCTCCTCGTGCCTGAGGTAGATTGAGCACCACAGCTGCTCACATGCCCTCATCGCTTCTGTAAACGCTCAAGTCTACGACACAGAGAAGACCGGATGTAGAGCAAGACTACGGGCAAGCGATAGTCCATCGCAGCGTAAGCAGCAGCAGCTACTGAGTTCGATTTCCTGCGCAATCACCTCAGAATTCAGCCACGTATCTGTGAGTCCCACTAATTCTGGCCGCTCAGACGTAACGAAACGTGAGTTACTAGCGCTTGTACATAGGACTGCAAACGATGATAAAGGATACAAGTAGGCTGTAGCAGGAACCACCGGGAGTGTGAGAAACCTGTTTATCCTGCTTCGTGGAGTCTTGTGAACGAGTCGAAAGTTTACGATACGGAGACTTGTTTCCCATCAGCATTTCGTCTCTTCAGCTCAAGGATAGTAGAGTTGAGCAGCTCTTGACGCGCCGGATCCAGGTCTGGACGAACATGGATTTTTAAACCTTTAAACCTATTTAAACCGGGACAAGATCAGCCCCGTACTGGCTTCGTGCGCAAAGGTGATTCTACTTAATCAACTTATCTGATCATGTATTTTTTCCAAGACGGATAATTTGCCTCACTTTCAATCCACCCTCAGACATGTAGAGGAGTTTATCAATTGCAGTATGTAAAAAACAATGATCGTAGCGCATTTGGGGATTTGGATCAATGGACTAAGGCGCGTGGAGGAGCACGTGGTTAAAACGCCTCTGGTCGGCTAGGGTTGAGCTTACAGGGCGAAGACTCTTGAGCTTTACATGGTCTGGCCTGCGGTTGATTTCCTGCGGCTGAACTCATCATTTTTCTGCCTTCTTTCCTCGTAGTTTCTACGTGTCTTCAGTACACAGGACTACACAAAACGAGACATTTGTCCGCAGG